TATATATATATATATATATATATATATATATATATATATATATATATATATATATATATATATATATATATATATATATATATATATATATATATATATATATATATATATATATGTATATGTATATATATATATATATAAAGCTGTATACTGTATGCTCCCTTAGAGAGCTACTGTAAGTTTGTTTAATATAGAACAGATCCATAAATATCAGGTATGAATTGTAAAGCTGGCTGAACCTGTGCTTTGAAGATATCAAGCGATGAGCTACATCTTCACCTTTTACGTCTCTTTGCTTCAGGGATGAAATTGAGATTCCTTTGGATGTTTTTCCAGTGGGACAGGTCAGTATATCTGAATTTGAAAAAAAAAAACTTGTTTGATACAGTTTTTGCTGATATAAAATCCGATTTTTGAAGTTATACATCTTTTATGATTTTGTATCAGCCAAGTTCTTCTTTAAACAAGTCATTTCATCTATGTTTACATAAAACGTTTCTGTTAATTTTTTTTATTTGGTTATTTTATAAGCAGTACCATATTAATTAACTCCATTTATCAGAGGCATATTATTTTATATATAGTATGTCCAGATCAAGTTCCTCCAGCCAAGGCAGAGTACTGCAGGCAGGATAGGGGTAGTGGGAGTCAAGTTTTATGGCTTTACCAGGAAGGCGGTCTTTGCTGATGATCTTCAAGTAGTGAGTAGAGTGCAATTTAGATACACTCTATTTTTATTTGGGTTTGTCCAGTTGTTTCTTGATTTAGTTGGCCATGTCATTAACTAAAATATCCAACAGAGTGACTTATAATTTTAAAAAGACACCAGGCACATCTGATTCAATATAACATCTCAAGGAGATTAAATCCTATCTCCCATGGTGTGGGCTTTTTAATGATCACTCAGTCTAAGTAAACATTTGTATTATATTTTTATACATTAATTTTAGTTAAATCTTCACTTTCTGATGCCGTAATATTTTCTACAGTTTTTTGTTTGAAGTCTTTTCTGTCCTCCTCACTTCCTATTGAATAGGAATCTGCTACACCAGAGGAAATCATTTGGGCAAATTTCTTTCAGGCAAAATCACTTGACCTTTCACAGGACAGCTCTGTTGTTAGCAAAGAGATGGTATTTGTTAGAACTTTGTCATTTCTGGTGGATTTAGCTAGGGAACAAGTAAGTATAATTTTGTTTTTGCTTACTGAAAAGACATACGGTTACAACACTGAACCAAAAATATATCTGTTCTCCGTTACTTAAAAGATGAGCTAGCTAATTAAAGGTTCATGATTCAGCTTTCTAAAACAAGACAAATGATATAAGAATTAGTGATGTATAGTTATTTGAGGGGATAGATATATATTGTTAATGCCAAGGCATCCTTAAAGAAATATATCTGTCATTTTTAAGGGATCTGGGAAGCAAGGAAAACCACAGCCTCTAGATATGTCAGCATTGGCTACAGATGTATGGTGGAAACTATACCCTTCATTTTCATATAAGTAAGTAGTGTGTGTGTGTTGGGTGTGTTGGGTGTGTGGGTGTGAGAGAGAAAAAAAGAGAGATGTGTCACTGACCACTCTTTCAGTATATTTCTGTATCTTATGTTTAGGCATCTGTACTATATCAGTAGTTGCATAATTTGCATATTCAGCCATGGTATATGCCTTAGATTTATGTAGATTCTGAAAATGCATTATTGCAATATAAGTGAAAGCAGATAAATGATAAAATTGGATTCCTATGTCTTTCTTCCAGCTCTGATGCTGGGGTAGTCTGTAAGATACTGCTTCTGCAGCTTCTACATGCTTTGTTCCAACCGCTTACTGTGGCCAAGACTGTTAAAACAGTAAGATATCATAATATTGATAGAAGTAATATTTTAATAAAAATTAAGATGATATAATATTGATAATGATGATGATAACAATAATTATGAAGATAATAATGATAATGATTGCACTATTATTGTTGGTAACTCTGACAGCAGAATCCAGCAATAAAAGTAAATGGTTCGTCGAGTGTTGGTTACTTGTCTTTAAGGAAAGTAAATGCTTTGTGAAAGTAAGTGTCAATATGCCCTCCTTGCAGAAGTCAGTAGAGTACATATTTCAACACCTGTGTGAGGTTATTGACACTCAGGATCAGAAAGAGGAGGAATCCCCCATGATGAAAAACTTGGTCAAGATGGCACAGCAGTGTGTCATTGATGGTGAGTTTGGATTAACATCATGCCTGTGCTACCTTCAGTTTCATGCCAGTTAGCAACAGTCTTATTTACTTACTATACCTTAGGCACCTCCCCCTTCCCCATCCCCTCCCCACACAAAAAAATGTTGTATATAAACAGAGTGGCTGAATAAGAAACAAGAAATTTTTTTGAGCCTATCTGGAAGCTAGGGTGTCTTGTTCACCTTGACTGTGTGAAAAAGTGCTTGTAAAAGAAAATACAAATCAACTGTAGAATAAAGTTAGATTTTATAAGATTTTATAAGCTTTTCTTTGCAAATTATTTCAGGTGCTGCTGTATTTTTCCCTGACAAGGAAGCCAGAAGAAAACAACTTTTCAACATGATGGACACTGTCACTGTGAGTGGTATATTTGGACTTGCATTTAGGTGGTGTCTTACACTTATATGAACATTGTATTATTTGCATGATGTTTATTTTGCAGTTTTGTTACAATAGTTACTGACTTGTATGTTTGTTTTATTCATAATTGATACTCTTGTTGTCAGTGGAGCACATGCTATATGTAAGAAGTTATATTTATTTCTATCACAATCTTGTGATAAGTTAATTACATTTGTTTTACTGGTAATTTATGTTCTTACTATTGTTGATGCAGTGTAATATTCTACTTCAATGTGATGTACTTCCATTACAGGGTACAGTAGAGAAACCATCTGTGTCTCTGATATTCCAGTCTTTGTGCCAGTTTTATGGAAACATGGAACCAAGTGGGCTGCTAGATTTGCCACAGTATATGAAAAGGGTAAATATGCATGTATGATGTACTGGTAGTCTTTGTGAATATTGGCTAATTCTTCAATTTTTTTTCTGTAAAACTTCAGCTGAAATCCACAGCATTTTCTGTTCAGACTGATTTTCACCTATAGCCATTGTGTGAAACTCTCAGAGATATTTCAATATAAATAATTCACTTTATAAGCTATTTCTGTCTGTTCAGGATTACAACAGTGAGCCAGTGGTTGCTGTGATGGAGACCCTGATGTCTGTGGCGTTCAAGGAGTTTCAGACGGTGCTGTCTGGGGGCGCAGATACAGATGAGATGTCACCACTGGTGCAGCTGCTCTGCTCTCTACAGACCACTCTCCTTGGCTGGTGTCACAGGCAGCTGGATACCCCCGATCTGGAGGAGGAGTCTAAAGATATCATTTTAGCAACTATTGTAAGATGTGAGTGCTCTTTTAATCAAGTGAATCAAATGTTTATTAGAACATATAAGCACAGTTTATTAGACTTGTTCAGTAGTAATCTTTTTCATGAAATTATTATTATTTTTGTTTTTTACTTAGATTACATTTTATTGGGGGAGAAAGCAACAGAAGCTTGTAAACTGCTTCTGGAAAAGAACGAGGAAATCCAGGTATAATTATTGTTTTGTATTTGTTTAGATCACTGAATTTTTCCCATAATTGCTAATAATAACAAAACAATATAATCAAAATAAGATTGAAGCAATAAAATTATCTGTGATGATTAAAGTTTTGCTGTCTTGCTTTTTTAAACTTCTACTCAAACTCATTTTTTATAAGATGAAAACTACCAGCATTGATTGTGAAATTATTTTTCTCCATTATTTCCAATATTATTTAGAATATTGCTTTCATTTTTTTACAGGCAGAGATGATACCAAAGTTGAAGAAATCCTTTCTGTCTGCAACTGTGAGGGAAGGGGTAAGATAAAGTGACAGATATATCTGTATTTATCCTTATTTATATTCCTTATTACGGAACCATTGGGAAAATTGAGTCTGCCACATAAATGGACAGTATTTTCTTTACATCTTCAGATGTAGGTCTTACAGAATCTGAGTAATTATGGAGCAATATTGTTATATGATACATGCATATATAAATTTACCGCTACTACAAGTACAGTCACCATGACTTACATAATACAGCAGCTACTACTTCTACCACTGCTAAAAATAAGATAAACTAAAACACCTGTGATTAATTTCCACCTGTCATATTAGACCAATAATTTTGAAGAACCAATGTTTTCACCAGTCTGATGTCAAATCTACTAGTTTTACTATGTTGCCCTTGGAATGTCTCACAGCCTTCACTCACTTTCTTCATTCCATTCCATTCAGTCCTTCACTCCACCTCCTTCATATATTTTCAATACAAATTGTATTATTCTTTTCCAGCTCCTTGTTCTCAGTATGATGAGTGACAAGCTAGATTCTGCTGTCAGAGTTGCTCTGTTGCACAAGTTGTTGCCTATTGCTGAGGAATTGAGGAAGATGGCACAATTACTACCACACTTCTTTCACACAGTAAGAATTGTTTTTTTTATAAGTTTTTGTTTGTGTTTTTTATCAAAGTCGACATCTTAATTAATATAACTTCTTTGTGAAATTGTAAAATGAAAAACAAATTTATAAGACCATAGATAAATTGAAGTTTCTCCTTTCAAGGATTATTCAGTCTAAGTATAAATAATATCGAGTTTATACAGTATTTTATAAAATTCTGTTGCCATGATATCCTGTTCCATTTCTTTTTGAATTATGTATGTATATCCATCTCTTAAATTTTAGACATTGAAATATAAATGTGTTTTATCTACATTGTCAAAGACAGTAAGTGTAGACATCTGTATTTGCAAATTTTCCTACATTCACAGAAAAAGTTATGGTTATTTTATCACCAAAAATAGTGTTGCTGTAAACATCTTAGACTTCATATTAATTCATCATACATGACTGTAAAAATGAAGAACTATTTATTATCTATTTGATTCCAGATTGACAGTGACCATTGGCAGAAGGTCCACAATGACAGTGTGGTGTTAAGAACATGGGATGTGGAGTCATCCCATAATTATGAGAACAATCAACATACTACCCAGGTACAGTGTACAGAATCAGTCTAACAAGTCTTTTGATAATAGTGAACATGTATTTTTATTTTTTTCACTTTTTTGAGTTATCTATCTTTAAAAATATTTGATTTAATTGTTTTTCTGCTGTAGGTCATACATGTGTAGACAGAACTTTATATAAAAGCTACGTAGTCTTGCCACAAAATGATGATGATTCAACTTATGTTTGAAAAGATGATATTTTTTTATTTGCAAAAATAATCTGAAAATTCAATAGAATTTGTGAAGTTTTTTCCAGCTCAGTTATGAATATATGTGCTTACGGAAAACATCTGGTTTCAGATTTTCAGTTGCCCTGGAGCCACAACCTTTGTTGTAGAATTTGACAAAAGATGTGAAACAGAGAAAAGGTAAATGCATGTTGAAATGTATTTTTGTAAAATCCGTGGCAAAAATTGCCAATACTGTGAATCCAGAAAAAATACACACATTGTTGAAAAAAAAACTACTGTGTTTTTACATTCATTTTACTTTAACAGAGGCATGCTATATCTATAATATTTTCTCTCAATATGCAAGAGCAAAAGAATTTTTTTCAAGGGGGGGGGTTAATATGTCTGTGAATTAATGATGTTTTTAGAGTGGTATGCATTTATGTCCTTTCTCCTCACATGATAAAATAAATAAGAAAAAACAATTTCAAACCTCTTGCAGGTATGACTTCTTGGAGTTTACAGACTGCAGAGGAGTTCGGACCAGATATGACCAGAAAGTGGGAACAGAAAAATGGCCGAAGACCGTGACCTTCAGAGGAGGGCACCGTCTGCAATTTTTGTTCCGTTCAGACAGTAGTAACAATGAGTGGGGGTACAAGTTTAAGGCATGTGGAAGAGACAGCTCTTTATTTGAATTTTTTCTCTCAGTCCTTTAAATAACAACCTTGAACTTTGTAAACTTTGGATAAAAGTAATAGAAATAATGTAATCTTTTTGCTACAAGTGTGGTGTTACTTCCCAGTTTTAGATCTGCTGGGTAGACGAATCTCTTAAATCCTTCATTTGTCTTCTTTTCTTTCATTTCTTATACTTAAATTACGTTTTGTTCCATTTTTGTCTTAAGACACAATTTGTTAGAATGTAGAGGCGGTAATGTAATCTCTTTCCTGTTTACCAATTTTGACATTGATAGATATGTTTAATGATGTCTATATTTATAAAAATTAAGTCTTCACCACCTGAGAGTTAACAAAATGTCCCCTTCCTCCAGGTGACTGCCATGGGGTGTCCTGACAGCCCTATCTGCTGGGTATTTGACCTGCAACTGGGGCTCTCCAAACTGTTTGGGAAACTTTGTGGCTGCACCCTGAATTTACAGAAATGTAAGTAATGAAAGAAAGTAGCTCTAGCTTGTATCTTGCTTACTCATTTAATAATGATATATGGTAATTTCCCAAAATTTATAAAATTTAATCAGATAGCTGTTTAGATTATTTATTTCTAATTTGGAATGTATAAATTTCTACATGATAATGACAGTTTTGTTACTTATGAGGAATTTTGTGGAATTATGAGTATGTATTTGTTATTTCTTTGAAAAATGTAAGTCAAAATATTTCAGTGATGCCCAAACCCCCTGACCCTGAAAAGCAAGAAGAGGACCAGGAGACAGCCATGTTGAAAAGTGAATTGTGGACCACTCTGTTCAGAGGAGGATATATGGTTGGAAAACTGCAGAGATCTTTATCAGGGAGACAGGTGGGTTTAATGTTTTTATGACCCCTAGCTTATAGTTCTAAGCTGTTTGAAGAACAGATTTGTGAAGCTTTAGTACTTGAACATAATGGAATTCTATTTATGTATTGAATACTATGAAGTTCAAGTTTTTAGAACTATTTTTGTTTTTATTCTGAGTAACGGAATGGAGGAAAAAAGCAGGGTTTGACAAATACACATTTACCCACATGATTTATTTTTCAACGTAATGAGGGTCACTAACATAATAGTGCAGAAAAATGCATACCGCAGATATGGACATTTGAGTTGATCTTTAAGTGTATTAATGAGGTTGATCCTTGTAGGAGGCCATTGAGGGCAACCATGCTGTGTGTACATTCCTGTGGGATATCGTACAGCAGAAACCAGGACCAGCTACCAAACTCATCAACAAGTAAGTCAGTGTAGTCAGAAAGGTGAAGATCAGATTTAAAGCCTGATGTCCTCAAGAGAGATCCACTACATCTTAAGCTTGGTCTTCTGGGAACTATTAAAATTAGATGTGAAGCAGAATGTAACTCAAGCTGCAGTATATGTGTTGCTGGGAATTGTAATACAAATGTACAACACACACACACACGCATGCACACATACACACACACACACACACGGATTAACTGTTAATCTTAATTCCTGCAGGTGTCTGGAGCATTGTAGCAGTCCCAGGAGTAAGATCGGAGGTGATGACATCACCCAGGCTGTGGTGTCGGCTTTTGCTGCCCTCTTGTGGCACACGCAACCCCTCAGAGAGGAGATTGAGAAACATGGTGGGTTCTGGCTTTCATGATAAAGACTTCATTTTTAAAGTTTTTCATATTCAGTATGTCTAATTCTTTTTAAAGATTTCATCTTCAAATACATGTATTCCTCTCATATTGGTGTATACCTACATGTATAAGCCAGGTAGGATTTTCACTACCTGTGCATGTATGTTCTCTCTACAAATTGTTTTGAATTTTATTCAGTTGAAGGAAAGGAAGAGGTAACTGTGAGTGAAGGTATTCACCAAGCTTTCCACACTGCTGAGTCTTTGAGACACCATTTGGTAAGAATTTGACCCTCATTACTCAAGATTGTGTGTTGTAGTGTATACGATTTGATGTTGATGTAGATCTGAATGAACATTTTAATGGGAAGGTAGACAGAGAGAGAGAGAGTGTGTGTGTGTGTGTGTGTGTGTGTGTGTGTGTGTGTGTGTGTGTGTGTGTGTGTGTGTGTGTGTGTGTGTGTGTGTGTGTGTGTGTGTGTGTGTGTGTGTGTGTGTGTGTGTCCATTCATTCATTCATTCATATATTATTGATGGTTTATTTTATAACAGATGGATCTGAGACAGAAACAGACAGTTGCGGCTGAAAAAGAAGGATCAAGTAAAGCACCCATAGAGGACCCAGGTAGAGAAAAAAGTTGCTAATTCATCTATCTTCTCTCAATTTCTCGTAATATCTTATTTGTGACTTGTAGACCTAAGAAAAATTACTATTATTATTATTGTTATTTCAGTGTGACATATGGTAAAAATTTGGATATTTTCAGCTGATATTTTCTTTCAGTATATGTAACTTTGTGAATGGAATTTTAATGAAAATATTGTTATGATGATATGGATATAGTTAGTTTTTGAAGTATTTTTCTGTTTCTTCCCTTTAGTCAAATCCTGTAAGGAAAAGGCTGAGTTTCTACTAAAATTTGCTGGATTGACTAAAGTACAATTGAAGTTGACAGAAGTGAGTTTTATTACCAAGAAGAGATAATGTACAATAGTTAAAGAAGGAGTTTGATAGATAATTGATGTTTAAATGAATAACACTGATCTGTATTATACACAATGAGAAAACTTATGCAATGAAAAATTGAAAATTACAAGTTTATGTTTAGCTTACTTCACTAGTACAGATAACCACATATTGTTTACTATTGACTGAATTTTTTTGACAGCATTTTATGTCAATTGCTTCTGTTTCGTGTATCTGCTATAACATTTTTATTTATTTGATTTTTTTTATTTTTAGAACAAGGCTAGTAAAAACAAAAACCAGCGTAAGGTGCTGAACACAAAATTCTCAGGTGAAATGGACAGGATATTCAAGGTATTATGACCAACATTTCTAAAGATGGTTCTAGATTTGGTTTATTTCAGAATTGCATTACAGTTTGAAAATAACAAGATTTAAGACAATTTTTTTTTTTTTTTCATATGTAAATTGGTAAATTTTATTGTCAGTGCCATTATAAAAAAAAAGGTATTGGCAGTCTCACAGAGCTCACTCTAGCCAAATATCTGAAAAAAATTACCCTATCAAAATTTTTATAGAAACCAGTGCGAAATTGGTGTAACTTGAAAGTTTTTGTTTCTATTATTTTTTGACACAAAAGGATATATGTAGCGTTTTCAAAAAAACGTGTATGGAACTGATAAGCAAGAAATTCTGTCTGTTTTGCTATTTACTGTAGTAAAATTCATTGAACCAGAAAATTGAAACCTTCATCTATACAATACTTCCACTGTCGACTGTTTTCCATTGAAATATGTTATGGAAGCATGTATATAAGAATATGAGAATGAAAATTCTCGTTTTAATTTTTTAGGTGGATCTTGCCTCTGACAAGTACCCATCATTCAGACTGGTCATGGAGTTCATCAGGGATCCGGCTTGGTTGAAAGAAAAGTAAGGAGTCTGCCCAGCACAGCTCTCAAAATTTACTGATAAAATGGGATTCTTTGATCATTTATTAATGCTACATGTAGTAGTCTTACAGCCAAAACTATGGTGCAAAATTACTGTTGAAAAAGCAAGGATATTTTAAGTTTAATGGATGGAATATAAATGTAACAAGTTGTTTGTAGATCTTGTGTATAATGAATGATGGCTGGTTTTTATCCAAATTTCTATTTCCTAACATGTATGCTGTGGTGAGATGTGAAGCATAATTTTTAAGTAAAAGTTGTTGTTGTTGTTGTTGTTCTTCTTCTTCTTCTCAATTATATTATTATTACTAGCCAGTGTTTTATTGTTCCCAGAGTCCAGCAGTTACTACAGGAGAGGTCTAAGCAGGCCCAGTCCGTAGCTGAGGTCTATATGTTTGCTGCTGAGTACATACGAATGATGGCAGATCAACATATTTTTCAGGTAAGATATCAATATTTTCATCTTATCACCATCCTTTTCTCTTCCTTTAACAAATTATTTATTTTTGTATTTTGTTTCACTCTATTTCCCAGTTAATTGATTTCCTGACTTGACTTGAATTACCCAGCTATTTGTCCAAGTTAACATTTATCCTGAAGTCAACCTTTCACGACTTCTCATTCATCCTTCTTGTTATTCTCATCTTCTGTCTATCCCCCTGTAGGTGCCAGTGGTACTGTTCCTGCAGGAGCTGTTGGATGAACAAAACCATTTCCCCAAGCACTACGCTGACTGGCTGGACGGCTGTGGATTGGAACTGGAGTCCAATGTCAGGCAGGCCTATTATACTGTCCTGCGAAGGCTGGTGGAATCTCTTAGAAACAACAAAAAATTTGGCTTGAAAGGGTAAGTGTGTGATAAATTGAATGTATTTGCCAGACCCTACTGATTGAACATATGCAAAGGTAGCAGAGAGATTTACTAAAGTAGAGGTCTAAAGTAAAACAGACCTAAAGTTGGGACTTATGATCTGTTGATTAAAAAAAATTGTTAGAATCTTTCAAACCAACTGAAAGATAAAATTTAAAAAGCAAAAGATCATTCCATAGACCCATTCAAAAATGTAGTTTACTGAACAACATGAGTGTTACCCACCATATAGATTTATTTCAGAAATCAGAAAATCCTGTTGGTGTCAGCTGAGGGACTAGAAATTCTGTGGATTTAATGATAACTGTCTATCATTGCTTTCAGTGCTGTGGAAGAAGCTTATGAGTTTATACAGGCATGTCTTTTACACCTGTTGGATATGAACTGGCAGGTAGGAAGGGATCTATTTTTAATCTATTTTTTAATATTTTTTGAGAAACCATAGGAAATTCCATTTTATAAGTTTATGCTGAGAGCACTGCATAATGATTTGAAATTTTAAAAGACCAAAATAAAGATTGGACCTGATAGTCTCAATAAGCCAGATCAGCCAGCTTTAATAATTATTTACATGTGGAAGAACCTTTCCAATCATGTGCTAATCTCACTCACGGAGAGCTTACAATGAAGGCTACAGTATATGTGGCGCTTGGAGTTCTCGATGACCATCAGTATCTTATCCAGTTTGTAATTAGTTCAGTGATTCTGTTCAAGGCCCACTAATCATATCCATTGTTTTCCAGCCATATGATCTTGCCTTTTTGGTGGACCTGAAAATTCCAGAACTCTTGATGAATATTGCCAAAGGTAATCACTTACAAAATAATGATCTAGAGAATGTTATTGTTCTCCTTATCAAGTAATAAGTTTCAAGTATATAACTGCTTTGTGAAAATCAAAATTTTCTTTCAAAAATTCTTTTTTTTTTCCTTCAAAGAATGTCAAAGTGAATATGTAATTGCCAGTCTGTAGCATGATAACAGACAATTGCCCAAGTGCACAGGGCATTTTGGTGTTGACTAATTTATGTTTTGACTTAAGTAATATTTTCATTGTAACTTCAGGAAGTGTAACCACTAGAGATAAATCCTTGAGTGAGTTTGATGAATCTCAGGAGCAGGAGGAGTATGAACAGTGTATGAAGTGGCTGGAGGAATGCAAGACTGGCTTCAGTGCCTGGTACAAGACTGCTCAAGAATCTTCCAAAGAAGACAGAAAAGTATTTATTTATTTATAGTAGTTTATTTGGACTTTTTAATTAATCTTTTTTATACAGAATATGCAGAAAATGTTATTTTAAAAGATATAATCTAATATCAATCAGTATCTCTTAGTTTCATTAGTAATTCTTTTTCATGTGGATATGAATGTTGTGCTAAGTAGACTCAGAGTGACTTTGTTACTCTGCCCAATGTAAAAACAAATACAAGTTGTCAACTGTTAATTGAGGTTTAGTTGCTTGAACAAAAATGATGACAGCCCCATCAGACTTGTCCGTCTTTTAAGATAAAAAGTCTCAGTAAAATTAATGTAGCTCAGAAAGTGCATTTGGCCACAGTGTACTTTATACTAATTTTCATATTTTTTGGTCCCTCAGGCCATGCAGATGTTTGTAGCTAGATTCTGTGATCTTTTGGATGTGGAGATCAGTTGTGATGGTTGTGGTGTAACGTTGCCAGGGAGACGCTACAGGTGTCTACAGTGTCAAGATATGGACCTCTGTGCTACGTGCTTTGCAGGTGCCTTTGACTTTTCATTTCATATCTGCATGTGATTTTTTTAAAAAGTTGATATAATAGTAGTAGTATTTTTATTTTTATATCCATACTATTCATAGCTTATCAATTTTGTCATTCACCAGAGCAAGATAAGAGCGATAATGTCTCTTTAATTTGTTATTTTCAATTTATGGTGTTGTACATCATTCTGAAGGATAATGTTTCAATATCAGGTGGAGTGAAGCCAGCAGGGGAACATACAGATGACCATGATATAGTCCATCTGATGTACAAATGTGATGAATGCCAGGCTTTCATAGTGGGACAGAGAATCCACTGCGACGTCTGTGAAGATTTTGACTTGTGCTTGGGTTGCCATAAGAAAGAGCTTTATCCTCCAGGGTGAGTGATTCCTTTTTTTTTTTTTTTTTTTTGACAATTAGGGTGCTGAAGTGCATTTCTCTTGTTACAAAGAGATCATCTTGAAGTGAATACATGCAATATAGCTGTACTCATACATTTTGTTTCTTTTATATGTATTAGCATTTATTATCCATAGCTTTGAATAAACACAGATTTTATGTGATATTTCTTGCAGTCATGTCAGTTCCCACAGAGTCTCTGTTCTGCCTCTTGTAAAATGTAAGTAATGTTGCTTTTGTTATCAAAATGATATTAATAGAATCATGTTCATTTTTTTTTTTGTTAATAACTTTATTTTCTGCATTGAATTAAATACAAGCCATATTTTATTGTCATAAGTAGTAATATTTTCAGAATTTATATCTCAAAAATAAAATGAAATAAAAAAAAAACATCTATCCAAAACAAAAAGTTTTGTAAAAAAAAAAAAAGAGCACCAAAAAGCCTTTCATCACCAAACAAATAAAACAGGAAAGAAATAACTCTAATAAATTTTCATTTGCAAAAAAAAAAAGAAAGAAAGAAAGAAAGCACTAAGAAGAACAGTAACAATTCAAATGACCAAATAGCTCTAATAACTTTTCCTTTATCAATTACCAAATAGTAAAAAGCACCAATAAGAATGAGTCCAGCCTCCAAGCCTACATCCACCAGCATGTGTGGCTCCTGTTCACGTCCCTCTCCCTGGCCATGGCTGAAGTTCTCTACCACCGTCACTCAGAACTGGANATACAAGATACAAATGAAAATGCAAGTATTTTTGATAGGATTATTATTTACCAAATTCTTTTTATGGAATATTTGTATTCTTATTGTGTTTTATTAAACTTAAATCGATATCAGTCTTATAAAATGCTGCCCCCATTCAATGAATTGATTTGCTTAATTCCAGGTGGTTCCAGATGTGGTCATCAACACTTTTGACACAGAAGAGTTTCTGAAACTTCTGTTCACCATTGGAAAGTAGGCCCTGTTTTTAATTACATTGTTAAGTGTGCAAGCAGGTGCGCTTGTGGGTGTGTGGTTTCATGTGTAACTAGCATAAATGAAAGCTTTATCTCCGGAAAAGTTTGGGAAGGTGACTTTTTGGATTTTAATTCAATACAAGATACAAATGAAAGTGTAGTTACAAAAAAATCATCCATGCAAAACACAAAAGTGTTCTTACAACTCATTATGAATCTTTTAACAATTATTGTGAAAGTGTTTCAGAAAAAATAGTGGCCGTATACATAACTTCTTAACTTCTTATTAGTGTAAAAAAAAATGAAAAACATTTTCAGGGGAGATAGTGGCCATGAAAGCAGTACACAACACCTGGCAATGGGACTCATAGCTCAGCTGTTGAAGAGTTCATCCACTAGTTGTAAGGTAAGATTTCATCTCAGGTTCAGTTTGGATGGTAGGTTGTATGATGAAATATAAAAATAAATTTAAATGTTATTTGATTTTAGTTCATATTAATTATACTTTATTGCCATTCTTAATTTTGGTGTTTGATACCAAAACTTCTTTTTAAAATGAGACAGTTTGAAAGGCCTGAAATGTATGTAGCATTACAAAAATTTTAAAAAAATTAAATCATATTTTTCTTCAGTCATTATTAAATATGAACATTTGGAGTACAGTTAGTTGAGTGACAGCTAGCTTTTAAAAATGAAATCATTCAAACTTGCATTTTGTGATTGTTCTGGTAGATTGCTGATGCTGCCGTGGCTGGAGCTATGGACCCTGAAGAACTGACAGCCTTAGAGGGTCCAGATGGAGAGAGGACGGTCAGCTTTCTCTTCTCATTTGGGGCAACCTGCATGGAAAGGTAGGAATGGAGACCAGGTAGTACTCTGGAGTATCCACTAGTTTTGTACATTATTCAGGGTTACCAATTATCTGTATTTACTGTACTTATTATTTTAAAAGTATCATTTACCATGTTTTCAGTTGTTATTCTTATCAATAGTTACCTGGCTAACAAACATTAGATAAAGTCAGCATTTTGAAAACTGTTAAGTTGGCAACACTGAGTATTTGTACATGTATAGGTTTTTGATCATCCATGATGTGAAATATACTATGGTATTGTATTGTATTGTATTGTATTGTATTGTATTGTATTGTATTGTATTGTATTGTATTGTATTGTATTGTATTGTATTGTATTTCCAGGAGTGGTCTGGAGTGGGCCTGTTCCATGGCTAACATACTCCAGGGTCTGGTCAATGCTGTGGCCTGGAGAGACAGCCTACTCAGCCATATCACCAACAGTATACAGAGTCTGAGGGAGAAAGAGGTAGTGGGGCTAGTTATGTTACATGTATTAAACAAAAGGAAAGAATTGACAGTTGTTTTAGACTAAAAGTTAGTTAATTTAATGAAGTACCACACATTATCCCGAAATGAGTTAGATCCAATATTTTGGGTCTAAAGATTGAGACCAGCTTGTTGTCCTAAGTTCTGTGAATTGGTCCACATATACTTGGTTTAGTTTCATACAGTTTTTTTTAAATAAAAAATATAGTGCCTAAAGGGGAATGAAAAATTGAATACAGAAGAAAAATATTTGATGTGCAGAATTGCAAAATGTTTCAACATGTAACATGAATGCAAGCTATAAGGTATGCTTCAGATTGGGCCGTGTAATTGTCTGTTTGTGATTTCAGGTGCTGGATTTATCATCTATATTTGCCCTGTTTGTGATAGCTGGGTTTCCAGAGGTAAAGTTTTTATAGATAAATAAAAATAAATAAATAAATAAGAAAAGAAAAGAAAAAAAGGGCACAGATTGAATTTAATTGGTTGAACCTAGCTCACTACACTGCGTTTTAGAAACTGGTTTTACAGAAAATTCATAAAACATGAATAAAGTCAAACTTTTCACACATTAGTGTTAATTTAAAATTTTTTAAAAATCTGCACATCATCTGGGTGCACAAATGCATGTTTTCAATGATATGTAAGTTCTTTTCTGTTTAATTTTGTCTCTGTAAAAAAAGCCTCAAATTTGTGCCCTGAGTTTCAGAGACCACTGGAAATTTGTGCTTCAAATATGTGAATGTTGCCGTTTCCAGGTGCTGTCAATAGGCAACCAGGTGAAGTACAATGAGAACAGCACAGAGGCCAGGCTGGGAGTTGTCTTGAAACACTACCCTGATAAACACATGACACTGCTGATAGATACCAAGTCCAGGAAAAGGCACTCCGTAAGTTTTATAGATTATTTTGGAACTTTGATAAGTTTTCAATACTCCAGATATTAACTAGGTCAAACTTTGTAAACTTTTGTGATAAATAATCTTACTACTGAACTGAGTGACATGGTATATTTAGTATGTTTTAAATGTGTTTTGTACATACATATCTCATCAAAACTAGTAAGCTTCTCTTAGAGTTTTAATGAATCATATGGCATTTTGTATCAGTTTGTTCTACTACTTTTTAAAGGATAGGTATGTTGAGAGTTATTTCCTCTTTTGCAAAACAAAACAATAAGCAACCCCAGAAGAAACCTTGTTGTATTTGCCTTACTTTCAGTTAAAGGATGAATATGTTGAGTGTGTTTGCCATGAGATCAATGTACTGGACATGCATCATATCTCCTCCTTCATTGGTATTGTCAGAGATCTGATCATCAAGTTCAAGAAGGGTAATTTGTTTACAATATAAAATAACTTGGAGTAATCTAGTGTGCAACAATACAATGTTATTTTAAACATGGATAAGTATATTTTACATTACACAGTATAGCTAAGGTTAATGTATTGCAGTGAAATTGCTTTGTTGATTATATAACTTCATCCTCAGTATTTTTAGCATATGCTATCAGAGTGTGTACAGTGTTTAACCAGGATTGCACAGCAAATATGTGCAGCAAATATTTGTTTGCATTAGAAATGTACCTGAAATATTATAATGTATCTCTGTGAATTTTTAGGATTATATTATTTATGCAGTCATAACTTTATCTGTATTTTGAGGGCTCAAGCTGACCAAAAATTTATAAGATTTACTTTGGCCAATGAAAATGTTTTCTAGGTAGTTTACCAGTGTGTCATTCTTTTGAATCAAAATTTTGAAACAAAATTTAATTTTGTTAAAATATTTCAGCTTTTTGGCTAAAAAAATCAAAACAATTTAGCCCCTGCGATTACATTGTGGAAATGATGACATCAGTCTTAGAAGGGTAAATGTCTATTATTCATTGTGCAGGAGATGGTCTCTCGGTGGAGAAAACCTGGGTCCTTTCCCTGGCTCTCAAGTCTTTACTACAAATGGTGAAGTCTCCATCCTTCCAAGATGGCCAATCCCAGGAGGTGTTCACCAGTGATGTCATCCAGTGCTTGGTGCAGTTGGCCAGTCAGGGGACAGGCTTTAGCAAACAGTGGCTGTTGAAGGATTTAGAGGTGGGTTGACCTTTGTGTTTACTACAGAAGGTTATGCCAGGGTTGTTTAAACACATGTGCATGCATGCATGTTTTTCTGTTTTTTTTTCTAATTGTATTAAGGGTCATTGCCTCTGGTTTGAAAGTACAGGCATCTGTACATACCTCCGAGGTTTATAAAGGATCCAATTATGTTAAGTTGTCAGGGATCTCTGCTAAGTCTTTCATTCTGAAGGGAACCTGAGTGGCTAAAGTTACTTGTGTGGTGACTAAAGTCTAAATGACCTCAGCAAAAGTCAATAATTGTGTAATATATTCCACTTCCAGGTCCTATCTCTAATGCTGTACACACAAGACAAGGAAAAGTCTGATGTCCCAGCACCCCTCCCCGTGCCTGTGCCAGCTGCCTCAGACCCCAGAGATCCATGGCAGGGACTGGATGAACCTGCCAAAATGTGTTTCCAAGTAAGATCTTTACAAATATGCTGTTTGTATTCCTTGGACTCACTCTTGCTATGTACACTTTAGCAAAATATTTTAAGTATTTTAATTTTGCTTTTTAAAAAGTTATGATGAATGAAAGGTGAATAAATGTTATTTGTATTGGTGCAAGCAATGCTGAAAAAGGATTATTATTCATAGCACTTGTTAAAAACTATTTCAGACCCTCCATGAGCATTTCCATGTCCCTATCCCCATCCTGAGAGCTATCTATGACATGCATGGCCAGAACACGAATGCCTTGCTGATGGCAGTACAGGAGAAGTAAGTAATGTTCAATGGATTCAGACCACTCTTGATAGGTATACCAGTACATAGTTTATGCATGTATATTGTAAAGTGTGCATGTGCTTTTCTACAAGAGGGCCTCTTCTTCTGTTTTCATGTTTTTATTGCTGTTTCACTGGTAATTTCTAATCTAACCTGGCAGCATAATCACAACAAATGCATTGTTATCACAAAAGGTAATTTTATTGCAAAAAACATTAATTTAAAAAAAAAAAGCAAGTGTAGATGTACCTTCCAAATCTGATATTCAATATGTGAATGTGTATTCTTGAAAATATTAATCAATTTTTTTAGTTCTAAATTGTTTTCCTGTAAATTCCTCTTCAGCATTGAAGGAGACAGTTATAACCCAAGTGAAGGAATTAAGAAGTTGGCCAAAAAGTGGTAAATTTACCTTGGTGATTCTGCAGGAAATGTATATAGCAGTAATGCAGTAAATGCATAGGAAGAAAATATGCCGATCGTCTTATAAAAGTAATATAACAAAATATTATAGCATATTATATTATAGTAGACCAATTTGTTAAAAATGTATAACCCTGGTAATAGTTTCATCTTAAGATTTTATTTTTCAGGGAAAGTGGTGTTAAAGCTGTAGCATCTGAGGTGATGGCTGATAAGGCGATAGATGCTGGAATACTGCAAATTGATCTTGCTGTACCTGTTAAAAGGTAAGCATATTTGAAAGTCCAAGCTATTCAAGGAAATTATCAGAAAACCAGTATGATTAATTTTATTAAAGTTATTAAGTGGTATAACTTTACTTTGTTTCAGGACTATTGACAAAGCCACAGAAGAGCCCTCAGAAGATGCACAAAAACTTATCAAGTCTACAGACAATGATACGGAGGTCGATGTGTTGAAACAGAGAAGGAGCAAGAGTGCAAGTCTTCTTAAAAAGGAACTGGAAGTCCAAGGAAAGACGGGATCAAGGGAATATCTAAAAAAAGTAAATATATATTTTTTTTTGAAAACCACATTTATTATTTTGAATATATTTTTGGTATATGTATTACGTGTGTATGTTTAAAACTCCACACACACAATCCTTTAGGAAAATACTTTTGAACTTAATAATTTGTGCACACACACAAGCACATGCCATGTATATCTGTAGTTTTCAAAATTTCAGGGTGAATCCTGTATATTTTAGCTTTGAGTTTTATCTTAATTACACCAAATCATTTCATATCCCAATTATGAAACCATTTGCTCTGAATTTCACTAGAATACAATCTCCCTATTAGGTAAATCTAGCCATGTCAATTCTTTGGGCAAGGAAAGTGCTGTTGTCTTTGCTGGCAGATTGGCCTCAACTTGAGTATCCAATCACATCAGACCTTCTAGGTTGCAGGAGCAACGCCCAGATCCCTTGTGTTCTGGACCTCCTGAACAGATCAGAATGCAAGCAAACATTCAGAAAGGTAAGGTGCAGTATGATGCTGGTGCTTTTATAGCAAAATAATTGAATTCTCTTTGATTCAACAGAAACAATGAAAAAAGAAAGTGAATGTCATGTTAACAAATCACTAATTAAACACGAAAATATGAAAATACTGTGAACTGAAATGAATACTTTTTTCCAGAAATCATTTTTACATCCTTATGATACATCTTCACCAGAGTAATTTCCCCAATTTTTTGTGTAAAATATCACTATCTGGTATTTGTTTCAGACTTCTGATTTTTCCCTTACATTTTTTAAAATAAGATGCACGTATATGTATGTAATAGTTTGATGAATTGCATGCCAAACTTGGAATATATTGTATATTAATTTGTCATTACATTAAAAAAGGTTGTAAATTTTTATTTCATTTTTAAAATTTCATTATATAAATATTATTTTTCTAGGTTGTTAACAACGTTATTCAACACTGTGAGTCCAGTTGCCTGCCGCCCATAGCCAGTACTGCCTGCCAATTCATGGAGGAAGTTACCATGGCAACCAATGTTAGGCAATCTGAGCATCCATATGAGGGAACTAAAACTGTGGAGGAAAAAATTCACATCCCAGGCGCAGCTTTTCTAAGTATTAAATTTGATAGCAAGTGAGTGGCATTTCTTCATTCTGAAGCACTTTATTGTAATATAGCAGAACAGAAGTGTACAGGATTTGTTTATTATTATTTTTTTTTATTATAAACTATTATTATCTTCAAACATCATTTGTAGATATGTCAAGACATACAACAGAACAAAACAAGACATAAGAAAGCACACACAATGTAGAGGGTTATTGAACATTTTTATCTTCAGTAATCTAAACATGTTCGAACTCAATCCTGGAATGCTTCCAAATCATGATTTTTCTGCAGAAACTGTGAGTCTGTGCTATACATCAGAAAATATTTTGTAAAAAAATATTGTGATGAGCTAATGGTTTTGTTAGTATAAAGAACATAATTGGGAAGATTGTTAAATCCTTGCATATTATTCTATTGCACAGAAGCTTCATATCATGTTTTATAGATGTGCAACAGAGGAAGATGCTGATGAAGTAGTCATGGCGTCAACAGCCGACTACAAGCAGGACAAACATGTCTTTTCAGGAAACAGTAAAAATACGTGGAAAGACTTTGATATGCCAGGTTTGTTTGATTGCGCTGGGATAGCAATAAAGAATTAAGATTTATCCAGGAAAATGTTTATAGCTGTTTAAGCTGACCATTGATTGTTCACCTGAGTAAAATATGTACTGTTGGTATCTTGCTAAAGTCCTTGTAAGCAGGCCACTACAATATCACAGTCACATTAATTATTTGGTGACAGACATTGTAAGTGTACAGTATTTCAGAAACTGTTTATAAATTTTCTCAACTGGTTTTCTAATTATCTTCATAATCTCATAAGATGTTTACTTTTCCTAGGTGACACGCTGTATTTCAAGTTTACCACAGAGGGTGGATATAGTCACTGGGGTTATAAATTCACCACCAGTGGCAAGATTGGAAGATTTGATACTGGTTATTTAATCCTTAATGCCATATTGTCCAATGAGATGGTGGCAGTGTAAGTTTAAGATTTGGGTATTTTTATGTATTATTTCAAAACTATTAGAACCAGGTCAGGATATTCGAACAATGTAGTGATGCTTGGGTGTTAATGTACTTAAAAGCTAAAAGGTTTGATTTGCATTTCTAAAATATGTTACAAGAGGGTTTTTTTATGGGTTGCTTTAATTTTTTCTTTCTTTCAGGTCACTACCACTGAATGACCTGTGGTGCAGCCTGGTCTATGTGGCTTGCAAGCAGACAGGGACACAGAGACTGAAGACCATACAACTTCTTCTCAGAATATTACAAACACAATTTGTGTGAGTTAATGGAACAGAACTTAAGATTTTTTTTTTTTTTTTTTTTTTTGACAAAACTGCAAAATTCTGTTCTCTTTATAATGTTACAAAAACACATTGTTTAATTCTTCAGAGTTTAACTTCCCATGTTCAGCATTGCACCAAAATTTGAGGGAAAAAAACTTTACACAAAAGAAGTTGTATAAAAGTAACAGAACATTCTAGTTTTTCTTCTTAGAATGTTATAAACACAATTTGGCTATTAGTATTTTTTAATAGTACATAAAAATACTTTTGACATTTAAATGAATGAAGAATTGTGTGGGTTCCCTGCATATTTACAGACAAGTGCAATCCTCCTGAAAGATTGAGATATTTAAAAGATGTGTATTGAATTTAGACATTTATTTTGTAAAGCAACTCAGCCAGCAAAAAACTAACAATTTAGAACAAAACATTTCCAGACCAAGAGCAGATCCTCAGAAATGTCGGGTTGACCTGACTTTGTTGAAGCCCCTGTGGAAACTGTATAAGAGCAGCTTCAAGGATACAGAGGGAGGATCTGTCACACAGCCCATTGTCAGGGCCCTCACTGAGTTGTTCCTAGTGGCAGAGAATACAGCTCTGGTAAGCAGTGGTAGTCATTGATGGGGTTATCATCTGTGATGTTTGCCACCAGTTTGAGGCAATTGGCTGATATATGTATTGGCAGAGATTAATTTTGTAAATAATTTGGATTATTCCAAGTTACTATTCTGACCAGATGACCAGGTGAAATTAAGCAGTTGTTTTAAACTATCTTCCATGATTATGTGTTCCTTATTATTTTCAGGATCTAGGAATTGTTGAAGAGTATGTAGTTGCTTTGTTTGATTTGGATGAGATCAGAAAAGTTGTGTATCAGGTAAATGGCATTCTTTTAGCATAATAAATACAGATAAACAGTGTCATGTATCTTTTTGCACGTACTTGTAAAATCAGCTTTTTATAAGTAATATACTCCATTAAAATGGTTTTTGATTGAGTTTTTATGGCTTATAATAGAACCTAGCTTTATTGCACTCAAAAAATTTACTTTGATACAAAAAATAACTTTGTCTATAACATATCTCATGTCAGTTAAATTTTTATGTAACCTTTCTTTATGTTTTTCAGGGTCTTCACAATGTTGCTGCATTAGGAGCAGCCATTGGATTGCCAAACAAAGCAACAGAAGCTTTTCAGTCAATCAAACCGAAAGCCAAAAAGACGTAAATTCAAAGGCAAAATGATTGTCTTGGACAGAATAAGGAAATGTGCTACACGTATATGTTTTTTAAGTTATCTGGGAAGTGTGAACAGAAGTGTGACTTGTGTAATTTGCATATTTATTAAAGGTTTGACCTGTAGCAGTGATGTCAGTAATCAATCGAAAAGTATTGTGAGCTTTGTCAAGTTATCTGCTTGCCTGTCTGATAAAATAATCCTACAGAATTGCACAGCAGAACAATGGTCCTTTTGCACCCCTCTCTAAAATAGCCAGGCTATAGCACTACTCTTCGTCACTAGAGAACATAACAGAGACAAATTTTCTATTATGAAAAAACGACTGCAAAGATGTATTGTTTATAAAGCAATTGTATTGCTTATGTGAGATCATGGAAGGTTTACGCTACAATTTTGCACCGTATTTGGTTATAAACTTTATTGTTCTTTTTCATGGAATGGAATATTTTCTAAATAAGTTAATACCTTGGTGTTTGAATGGATTTCATCCTTCCTTAAGCACTTGAAAAAGAATGCAAGCTACAGTGGACGTAACAATAATAACGTAAATAGACACGTTTAAAAGGGCTTTCATATATGATTTTTTAAAAACCCATGGAAGATTTTCCTACACTGTGTTACGTATTGTGATCTGCGCAATTTTCCAAGAAACTGATGTAGTCAACTTGAGTTCCTTTATTCTGATTTATATGTATAATCTCAAAGTCACGTTGTAGCTAGGTTTTTATGGAATCTATAAACCAATTCATTCTAAAGATGCTTTTTGTAAGTTTCCTTATAAATGAGCTGTAAGAATTCAACCAAACAACTCCAATGAAGTCAAGTCATTGCTCTGAATATAACATTTCACTTATGAAATGAGGCTTGCATGTTTCCTTTCATCTTACGAGAATGTCTATTTCATGTGGTTAGCAATACTTGACTGTATCCAGTTCATGTAAGTAGTATAAAACCTTCTGTTTCAATCAAAATTCCTTTTCTAGAAAACTGAATTTAATTCTAAATTAACTTAAAAACCAGTCCACTGGCAATTAAATGGTCTCAGTCCCGTTTATCTTAAGTTCAAAACGTCCCGATTTGGAACACCTATTCGCGTTTGTTTTTCTTGATAGTGGTAAAGTGAGCAGTGGTTGGCAAGCGCCACATTCCGTCTTCCTCTCGAGATAGACCGTTCTTTATACCCTCGGTCCCCACGAAGTTCTGGCAGAAGGATAAAACGCGTAGGTCAAACGCAGACTCGGCGACGGTTGACACAGACCCCGTTGCACAGGATTTTACGGCCAATCCATCGGCGTAGTGGATGCAAGCGAGGGCCTCGGCCTCTGCCAATGTTGGAAGAACGAAACTATATGGGACGTCCTTGTGGGACACTGTAGCCGTAAACATTGGGAAGGATTCATTCAGAATCTCCACAATGCCACCTTGGAGTATCAGCAATCGCCTGGATTCTGCTATCTTCCTGAAATTATCAGCCGTGTTGGGAAAGAGAGCCTCAAAATAACGCAGAGCGGTTTTCCAAATGAACGTGGTCTCCTCTACGTCTATTACAATAAGCAACTCTCCTCCAGGCTTGAGGTTAGAATACATGGTAGAGACAGCTTTCTTGATGTCTTCAAATGGATCAGCCGCATGGTCAAAGGTGCTTGTAAGGTGGTATAAAACTTGTGATGCCAGAATCCTATCCTGCATTTCTTGGGGACATGCTTTCTTGAGCCTAAGAGATTCTAAAGATTTTCCGTAATAGTTCTGAATGGGTCCTGGATATGCCACGTCTAGAGATGTGTTACTGAAATTTTCAATCCTTTCTTTGTACTTTTGGATTGACTCTGGATTCGGCTCTTCCACGCTGACGATGACCTCTTTGTTCAGCAATTGGAGATTCTTGCAAATGGCGGCCATCGGCATCCCCGTGCCTCCACCAAAATCCATAATACGGACCGGCGAGGGAAGTTCAGTAAGATTCAGCGTCTCGACCAAAATGGTATCGAGGTCAACGAATGGTTTCCTTCTTCTTCCCTCATCCACCCTGGCAAGAAACATGATTATCGAGTTTAGTCAGTCCGTCAGTCACTCTCTAACTGTCTTCTTTCTTTTTTGAAAACACAGTTAACAAAAGTTGATAGAAGGCAAGGGGCAAGAGTTCAAGTCTCGATGGTGGCAAAATGAACGAACAGCGAAAACTGAATGGTGTATACGCAAATGAATAAAAGTTATTGATTGACGAATGTTTAATGAATAAAGAATACATAAATATAAAAACACTCCAATCATACCTATTTTCAAACCTAGCCGAACTTTTTGCCTTTTTTTAAATAACATACAAATTTATTTAAAAATACTAATAACTTTTGTAGAAATAATTTGTTTATGCCGATTTTCGAATTCCATCCGCCTTTTTGCCAAACAAAACTGCCTAACGTAAAACAAAAAATATGGTATGGCAGTTATCTCGCCAAATGTACCGGACGGATACAGCAAGAGCGACGGCGACGACTTGTGCAAACACAGTTAATCGAAACACATAGTGACAGTTACAAATAACATGTATTAAAAGATTTAATGGACAGAGAGAAAACTGAATAATGGACAAGTGCATGAATTGATGTTGTATTAATATACAAAGACGATTTAATGAGTAAAAATATGGATAAATGAAATATAAATATGAACGAAGAGATAACTTTCAATTTGAAACATTCAATTTGAAAAAAAAGAAAAGAAAAATTATACTTAACGCAGTGTCAAGGAGTGATAAGATTCTGTAATACGCCTCTGAGATAGTCATGGAACTGAACTCTTCACACAGTCTTTGCCGCACTTCTTGCTCATCCCTAGAGTCAGCACGCCCCTGAGAACCGTCCGCCATGGGAATTATAACTGTATAATCAGTTATATCCTTCTAACAAATGTTATTCAACAGACGACAGCTTTACAAAAAAATCCTCACTCAGTCAGCGGTTAACGTGTTATCCAAGAAAAAGCAAATTTGCAAATGTATGAAAAAATAATATAAACATCTATAAATTTATCAAGTGGTGTGACCTCCCAACCCGAAAGGACAATGATAAAATGGGTGAGTCCTATCACTGTGCCTTTCTTCGTTTTAAACCTGCCCATAATGTATGGCCAAGGGCTATGCGAATTGAATGCATATGTGACGACGTTACTGACTTTGTCTTGGTGGCGCGAGGTAATAACTAAACAATTCCATGTTTTCCCATATTCTTTATTATTGCTTTCTAACTACGCTATCTACAGTTTGTTCCTCATCGTTCAACCTCTTACATCGTTCTCCCCGTCTACATTACATTCTTCGCTTAAGTACAATAAGGCCGTGTCAATCAACTAAAGTGACACTACAAAACACTCCCCGCTCTTATTCGCTGCATGCTGTCACTTACTAACGTTAC